TGGACCACTAGTAATGATACATAATACATGACCACTAGTCATACTATTTTTGCACCAGATTATATGTAGGTTCATTATTTTGTTAGTTATAGGGTTCATAATAACATTTTAATCTCATTAAAAATTTAAACAAAAATATACAGTCAATATTTAATGTAATGCCACTTATTACTTCTGAGGTTCAGAATAAATAAAAAGTGTGGAGGTTTATTTTCCAGCCATTTCTTGATGTTACTAATTATTAAACTAATAACCTCCAAAATCCGTTTTTTTTGTACATATGTTTTTGTTTTACTATGAAAATTGTATATTCTAAGCATGAATAGCAAACAGGTGTTGTTACACATCACAATAAAACTAGAAAAAATATACAAACGGCTAAGATTGGTATAAGGGAAAAAAAATTGAGTGGTCAACATCTTCTCCAAATGACCTTCACTGTAAAACTCAGGGAAAGTCATTTGACTGAAATGTTGACTCAGACATTTATTTGTATATTTAAACAACCTGTAACAATTACCTGGATTATTAACCAATTGAACAAAGTTTTATGTTAGCAATACAGTCAATTGTAAGATGTTCGACAGAAACCTCCCTTGACCAACAACCCACTCATCTGTTTCTACATAAATCATATAGTAGGATAATTGACTTAATTCTTTGTTTATTAAGTAATTTTTTTATAGTGTTGCTTTTCTTCCGGTTTATATATGTATATATACTTGTAACAGTTCATTGAAGATAGAGGTTTGTGTTTGTTGTCTAGGTCGTGAAGATTATTAGGCCTAGTGAGACAGCAGGAAGATACATCTCCTATCGCCTAGTTGTATAATGACACGCAGAGAAAGAACAATGTATGAGTTAACAAGTGGTATTATTAAACAAGCAACCGTCTTATCATGAGTGTATATTTTCATATGTAATAAAGTTCAGTACTGTTTTTACACTATTAATTGTGCCTCCAACGGTTGGTTATGGCTTGAAGCCGACATTAAACTGTAGAATATGTTTGAAAGTAATAATATTTCAGTTTAAAATAATTAAACCGTAAGTGATTACCCCTAACTAGTATGTGGGAGGGGAGAGGTCACTAGGAGAGTAAAGACGATTGATTAAAAGCTAAGTTCTCGAAATTGTTTTTTAATTAAGACCAAACTGACATTCTTACAATTATTTTTATTCATTTCGGGTTATACTGAAAATACAGTAGTCAACTTGGATCACACTATTACATAGGTTGCGCAATTTAATACAAAGTTATTAATTATAGATTAGGCTTACGTTTGTTTGTCCTGTTGCTATAGTAAGTAGTATGCCTATTCTACATAGAGACGAGCAGGTACATCAGATAAGCAGTTTTCATTCTGTAAAGCGTAGAAAGGGAAGCGGCAGCATTTGGTCAACAGAAGTTGAGAAAACATAAAGTAATATATGAACGAAACATTTCGGAACCACACGTTAACTGTTGAGACTAAAATGGGAAGACGGCAAAATGAAACAACAGTTAGGCCTGATTACTATTATTTACTGTTGAGCAAAATATCCAACTTCATTGTCGTAAAAAAATATATATTTATTAACGTAAAAAGCTAAGACGTATCTAACCTACTTATTTAAGCCTTTCTAGCTTTTTTTACGTAATGACATTAATATTATTCATAATTTCTGGTAGATATTCTAATGCATTTTGAGATTACAAATAACGTGCCTAATAAGAAATTATAATACTGTTGCGTCAGCGAGGTCACGTGACTAGTGTCACGCCACTTTTTTCGAACCTTGGGAATAGTCGGGAGATTACTAGATATAGGGTAGTCTGGTATATATATATATATAATATATATATATATATAAGAGGGGTGACAACGTGACGGGACAATGTGTGTGTAGGTAATGTGTAACTGAACTGCAGTCAGAGAGAGACGTATTGTTGAAGTTAACGTCGTTATTATAGGTTGTTATAGCGCGAATGTTGAATATAAGTGTATCGTAAAGTTGTATTCGGAAAGAATAAACCAGTTTTATTAAGTAAGGACTTGTGTCGCTAAAGTTTCGTCTGAACGAAGTTACGGAAAGTAAATTAACAAACGGAGACGTAACAATACAATAGACGAAGGACGATGTTGGACAAATCAAAGAAAAAACCGTTTTTATCGGTAAAGTTTCGAGTAGCCGTCGTTTGTCAGTCCGAAACATCAACTATATATAAAGTTTTTTAAAAACCTATTGGTATAAACACGATCCTGTACATCTTTCAAATTACATATTGTTACGTCTCCGTTTGTTAATTGATTTTCCGTAACTTTGTTCCGACGAAACTTAAGCGACACAAGTTTTTTACTTGATAAAACTGGTATATTCTTTCCGAATACAACTTTACCGATACACTCAACTTCGACAATCGCGCTAAACAAACGCTATAACAACGAACGTGCTCAATAATACTTCTGACTGCAGATCAATTACTCACTGTCTACACACACATTACATTACCCTGTCACGTTGTCACCCTCTTTTATATACCCGACTACCCTATATCTAGTAAATACTAGAGCATTCGCCAAAGTACAGGATAGTTCTAGAAACGTGGCGTCACAGTAGTCATGTGACTTGCTGACGCAACAATATACATCCAATCAAATAATCTTATTTAAGATTATACTAGCTCCATCTGGTTATTATGTTATATAAATAGTGTGATACAAATATAACGGTGCCTCTGATGTTTTGTTAGGTTTTAAGTAAATTATCGTTAAGCAAAGTACTTAACTTCGTTGTCTTAATACGTATATATAATTGTTATTAAATTATAAAGCTAAGAAGCGTCTGACCTACTGATTTAAGCGCCTTTTTAGCTTTTGCACTTAAGTATTGTCATAGAAAATATATTAAATGAAAGTAAATATCGACAGTTAGAATACAGGAATATTTTGAGCGTGAGATGTGACGTCGAGTATCACATTTCTCACGTATAACAATGGGAATTTATCCGCAACAATGTTGAAATGTAATATTGATTACAGAATTAATATATAGGATTATAATTACAGAAATGTTACTAAAAATAATAAGTTTATGATTACAGATAAATACTGAAGTTACTGAAAAATGCTAAAGTTTAAAAGTCGTAGTAGACGAATGAAAAGCGTTCACTCATTGCCCGAGGTTTTATACATCTGAGTTTGAAGATTTTTCGCTAGGCATTCTCGGTGTTGGAAAGTGCATGCGTTAAGCCTGTGGGTTGGTATGGCCAAAGTGGTTAGGGCGCTCGACTCGCA